GGACGCCCCGCTCGCGCCTTCTGGCCTGTTTGGCGACGCCGTCAATTCGGTCGTCGACAGGTACCAGGAGGCTCGTAAGCAGGCGGCGGCGTTTCAGCGGTTTCTCCCTCGCCGCTCTCTAGCTCCAGGGGCTGCTGGGCGAGAGCAGCCCCCTCCGGGTACCAGCTCCGAACACAGGGGTGCGCAAAACCAGAGCGTGGCCTCGCGTGCTCCCCCGTGTCGAGGCACGAGGGCGAGGCAACGCTCAAGGTCGGGGGCCTCTAAGGCTAAGGCATATCTTCGGACCGTACTTCAGTCTAAGAGGTCCTCGGCCAAAAAGTCCCCTCAGGGAGACCCCTCAGTCCCCTCAGGGGTGCAGCGGTTTGCACCGCATTACACGGTGTCCGTATCGCCTCAGTGCCCTCAGGAGATCGGACTGCTAACCCTGCCGGAGTTACAGGGCGCAGCGGTCTCCCGCGAGCGCCACTCTCAGTCACCGCCCGGCAACGTAGCGGTGCTAAGAGCCTCGCCACCTCCGCGGAGGTCTCTAGAGCAGCAGGTTCGGTTGTTCCCTGCCGGTTCGCCGTTACAGGGCACCGAGCCGGCTGCTCGTATTGCACCAGAGATCAGTCTCGAGAGACTGATTCCCTTAGTAGACTTTTTGGCAGCGTGGAAACTACTGCCAGACGTGTCGCAATGGGTCCTGCACACTGTAGAGAGAGGCTACAGAATCCAGTTTGGTTCTCCTCCGCCTCCTTTCAACGGGACTTCTCCCATGCTGGTGGGCCCCGAGCAGGCTTGGGTCATGGAACAGGAAGTACTGACTCTTTTGAGGAAGGAGGCCATCGAGCTGGTCCCTCCTCATGTGAGGCAGTCCGGGTTCTACAGCCGGTACTTCGTAGTTCCAAAGAAGGATGGGGGGTTGCGTCCATTATTAGATCTACGTCACTTGAACCGCTCAGTCATGAGACTGAAGTTCAAGATGCTTACTATAAAAAAGGTCGTGTCTCAGATCAGGTCCGAGGACTGGTTTGTCACGATCGATCTAAAGGACGCATACTTCCATGTATCCATCCTTCCCAGTCACAGGGAGTTCCTGAGGTTTGCTTTCGGGGGCAAAGCGTACCAATATCGTGTTCTTCCTTTCGGCCTTGCACTCTCACCCTGCACTTTCACAAAGTGTGTGGAGGCAGCCCTGGCTCCGTTGCGACTTCAGGGCATCCGCATACTGACTTATATCGACGATTGGTTGATTTTAGCTCAATCAGAGCAGACGGTGGTTAGACATCGAGATGTCGTTCTCGCCCACATGAGAGAGCTGGGGTTAAGACTAAACGCCAAGAAAAGTGTGCTTTCTCCATTACAGAGGACCACTTATCT